GGGGAGGGGAGCGAGGAAGGGGAAGGAGGAGGAGGAGGCGAGGAAGAGGCGGGAGGAAGGCCCGACCTTCCAGGCGAGGAGGGGCGCCCCAAGTGGCCGCCTCGTAGCGGAGAGGGGCCGTGCACGCAGCGCGTGTGGCCGCGTGGGGCTGGCGACTGCTCGGGTGCTCTGTTTCCCCTCGGCAAACTTGCCCAGGCTGGCAGAGGCCCGGGTCCTGGGCTCGGACTGGTTTCGGACCTGGGGAAAAGACCCAGCTGACCCTCCCTCCTCCGGGGAGGAGGCCAGGCGGGATTTCCCTTGCCCGGGAGACCGGAAGGCCTGGGGAGGTTGTGTCTTTCCCCGCCGTGCTGTGCTGTGCTGGGCGCCCTCCTTTCAGCGGCAAAGGTGTCCCTGATTAAAACGTCAACAGCGAGGGCCGTGAGGATAAGAAAGAAATGACGGCTGGGTTAGGAGGTAGCACTTAGAGGAGCAGGATTTTCTCCGTGTGTGTGTGTGTGTGTGTGTGTGTGTGTGTGTGTACAGCCCAGGCCGGCTTTGTCACTCTTTGTCACACTTGTGGCTTTGGAAGTCACTTCCCCGCTTGTAATGGGGACCGAGAGGCTGGGAGGAAGCTTGGACTGTGTTGGAGGTCGGGGTCAGATCCCAGCGCAGCTCTGCACCCATCACGTTAATCACTTAAGCAAAGTGCGCAGTGAGCGCAAGGGCTCCATACAAGACCACCACGCGAGGAAGTCACCCCTCCAAGCCCTAGCCATTGGCTGCCCCAAAGCAGGAGTCCTCTCTCGCTGTGGGGACCAGACTGCCCCCTCAAGCAGCCATGGCTCCCCCAGGACCGCGAAGAACCAGTCCTGACGGTCTCATAGTCCCGAGAGAGATCTTCCAGACGACCCTTGACCTGCTCAGCCAGCATGCAAAGCCTCTGGCTGTGCACGTCTCTACCTTTGTTCCACTTTTCTCTAAAACGCCAGAGGACTGTCCGTGGGCGGTAGATCCCGAACCTCTTTTTTTTTTTTTTTTTTTTTTTAGTTTTTTTCCGGTACCAGGAATCGCCACCTCGCGCTTGCTAGGCAGGCGCTGTGCCGCTGAGCTGAATCCCCAGCCCCAGAACAAAGATCCAGTAATCTTTTCAGATTACATTTTTTTTTTTTTTTGTCTTTTCTTCCGGTACCAGGAATCGAACTTACGACCTTGCGCTTGCCAGGCAGGCACTTTGCTGCTGAGCTAAATCCCCAGCCCCCGAACTTCTTTATCTGCATGGCCAGGCTGGTTAAAGCTCCTCCCCTGCCCTTGATTGGCGTCATGGGACAGGTGGCCATACCTGGTCTGTTGGCTCCTGGAGCCAAAGCTTCTGACCTAAAACCCTGGCCACACCTTGAAACAGGTTTTAACCCCTTGCCTTGAACCCAGTGTGCAGGGAGGGAGAGGTACACCCTGCTCTAGGAGGGCTTGTCCGAGCCAAGCGATGAAGAAAGTACTGAGTGTCCTGGGGACAGAGACAGGGAGTTAATGGGTCGAGCAAGGACGTAGAGGAGGGACGCCTTTGGTGGACAGAAGGTGGGAGAGCACTCCAGGGGCCGGCCAGGCAGAGAGGTTGGCGTCCAGAGGAATGGGAGGTTCAGCTAGAGCAACCGATGATCTGGGGAGCGGCAGGTGCCCTAGGACGTCCTTTCTCCTGAAGCTCCTCTTGGTGCTGAG